GTACTAAATTTACGGTCCTTGGTCCGAGAGAGGATTTTATGAATTTGACCCCAGAAGCAAGGGAAGTAAATGCTTAGTCCAGTTTTAGCAAGAATCCTGCTAAGTCAGTTTGGAGAGAACATCCCACCTTTGATGATCTGATCACCCTTGATATCTGATCAAGTCCCTCATTCTTCACCTTTGATGTACAAGTCCTTCACCTGTCTTCAGCAAGAATCCTGTTAAGTGGGTGAAGCAAGAACCCCCTATACTTAATGTCTTCTCTTAGTAATTTTTTCATCCACTATCCCCTCACTCAACTTCTTGCCTGAAAATCCCCAGCTGTCTTTACTGTACTCAGAGTTAAGCCTGGTTTATTTCCCCTATAGAATGTTATGACACCTATTGCAATGGTCCAAAACAAAGTCTTCCTTACCATTTTAATAAATATTATAATAAGTTTTTATTCTGGGATGGGAAGGACCCAGTACTCTTACTTTTCTGCCTTCAAACATTAGAACCACTCAAATAATTCTCCTTGCTTGTCTTCTGTGTTCACCTAGTAACCTCTGATGAATTCTAGCTTCCAACATTATTTATAGGTTAAAGAGAATATTCACCCTTTTAGAGTTCTCACTGTTAATTCATACATTGGCATTGATGCTGGCTTATATGCTTCTGTGATTAAGTTAATCCTGAAGCAGTATCTTCAAGGTCAAGCACAGTGACAAAAATCAAGTTTCTGGGGTCACAGAAAAGAAGACCGGAAGGCGAGATCTGGCCACAGTAAACAATCGCATTTAAGAATACCTGGTGGATCTTAGAAGACACAGTTACTTAATGAACAACCAAGTTTTCCGTTGAAAAGTTCATATGGAGTTAGGGATGAGGAAGTAATGGGATGATATAAATTATTTTGGCTATTGCATTCAAAATTTAATCTTTCTTCTCTCCCACTGTCTATACTCTAAGACGCAAGCATGTCTGTTTCTACCCTCTATCTCTCAGATTTACCATGGCTTTATCATGACCCGGATCTTATGAAAATGCAGATTCTGGTTCATAGGTCCTGGCATGGATGGGGACAGCAATCTGCATTTCTAGAAAGTTCCCAGGTATTGCAGCACAAGAGGAGAGGTGCATTGTCTCCAGTTTTGGAGTAATGCCACAAACTCTTAATTGGCCTTCCTATTGCTTTTTCCAATCCATTCCCCACCCTATAGTCAGTGTGGTCTTTCCCAATGCAAATCTGAACAAGTTCCTCCACTTTCCCTGCTTCCCATGCCCTCAGATCCTGCCCCTGCCTCCCATTCCATCTTCAGGCTCCCACTCAAGTTCATGTTCCTGCTGACGAGTTAGGCTCAATTCCTACAAGCACTCTGTGATTTCTCCTTCTGAGCTTTCTCACAAGTTCTTCTCCTCATCGGACAAATACTGTTTTCCTTGTGATTCCCAGCTTCACCCCTCCCACACCTCCTCAGGCTTTCCAAATCCAGTTCTCTACTCTTCCTCTGGGATTCCATAACACCCTGAACTTCTATCATTGTAACTTATCAGCCAATATTTTCCCCCTCAAATTCCTATCATTAGATCATGAATGAAGGAGAGGGGTACCTGCACTTGTTTTCAATGTGATGCATCTCCATCACATTGTTTCACGTATAGAAAATGTTTAAAATATATTCACAAGCCCTAGCCGGTTTGGCTCAGTGAATAGAGCATCGGCCCACAGACTGAAGGGTTCCAGTCAAGGGCACATACCTTGGTTGCAGTCTCCATCCCTGGCCCAGGTCAGGGCCTGTGTGGGAAACAATCAATACATGTGTCTCTTTCATCAATGTTTCTGTCTCTCCTCTTCCCTTTCACTTTCTCTAAAAATCAATGGGAAAATATCTTCGGGTGAGGATTAACCAGAAAACATAAAATATACTCATGAGTTGAACTGGAAAAGGAAGAGTATTCAGGAAGTAGACACCTATTAGGGATTCAAATTTATATCTCATTTGGTCTTCTTCATAGAGTCACAATCAGTGTTACTAAACGCTAAAGATAAAATTGGTTAGGTTGTCAAATTGAAGCACAATCTAAAGCTTTCCAGCTACTATAGAATAATACTAGGCTTGAAGTTCTTTTTTAAATTCTATCTTACCTAAGCAATACAGAATATATATATTTTATACATAAAACAAGGCAGCCTTGACCAGCTGTTTTCTATTTTTTACAGGAGAGCTAGCAAATATAAACATAAATTGCAGTAAGGTATGCAAAATAAGGAAGACTGGATGATAAGTGAGGGGAGGGGCTAAAATGTGAAATAGCCCGGGAGTGGCCCTTCTAGACAGATGTTCCATGTGATCAGCAGTTCTTGAATCTTAGTATGTGAGGTGTTGTGGATGAATCCTGACAATTCTAATTTTTCTTCATGAGAAATTATGTAGTTTCTTAATGAAATAATTTATGTTATGAGATCTCATAATGTGTTATAACAGAAAAAAATCAAAATAAAATCTCAAAAATAAAACAGGTACACATGCTCAACATAAAAATCTATGTGGTTGAAGTACAGTATATCCATTTCAACATTTCTTACATACAAAAATATGATTGCTAATCTGTTCTATTTTCATATTTTTCTTTTACTATGTTTTTAACTAGAGATATTCTTTTATTTTTCAAGGAAGAAATGACATAATAAAAGCTCTAGGATCCAGCTGGCCTTTTTGTTTTCTCATTGTTACCAGATCCTAAATTCCTCCCCTGTGCTGGCTCAGGATTCTGGTATAGAATAGATGACTTCATTCTTATCAAGGTATTACTTGAGATGGAAAAGGTCAACCCCCAGAGCCCACCTGCCTTGCCCTGTGAATTCCTCACTAGCAATCAATGCCCCCATTGTCTTCCTTCATGCCTAGCTCCCAGAGCCACACCTGTCAGAGCCAGCACAGCTGCCCAAACTCACCTTCTCAGGAAGAATAAAGAGAGTGGAGAAACAGGGAGGGGGAGTTAGGAAGTGATTCAATATATCTTTTTATGTTTCGTTTGCAAGAATATTCAATATTTTCATGGGTGTGAACCTACTTTCAAAGTAAATATGATAAACCTACTACTTATTGAGTACCTCTCTAAAGAAAGTGGCCGATCCAGGAATCAGACTTGGATAAGCCTCATTTCTATTTCTAGCCCTCTCTCCCTTCCTCTCTGAAATCAATAAAATATATATGTATATTTTTTAAAAGCCTCATTTCTAAAGCCCAAGTTCTTTCCTCTAAATTTTGCTTTTTTTAAAGAAAGCAAAGCCCCGAAGACAATCTCATCTGAGATTCAATAGCACTTTTATTTTATTTAGTTAAAAAATAGAGACCAAAAAAGAAAAAAATAGAGACAGACAAAAAGGAATGCATGAAAGGAATCTATTAGGTTTCCAAAGAGCACCTGACAGGCCAAAATTGGACCTGGGAAGCACTGCTGTTTCTCCCTGCAACAATCCTTCCTCCTCTCAGCACCTGCAGGTGTAGCCTTGCTGCGTGTTAGCCAGGAAAACTGCAGGGCGCCAGGAGATGGTGCCATTAGGTGGGAAGCAGAGAAAGCGGGGGAGGACTGTAAGCACGCTGGAGACATCAGAGAGTCTTTAAAGTACATGTTAATCTCTCCTTGCTCATTCCCACTGCGCGTCCTCATTCGATAACCTTGTAATCTCCACTCTTTTACCTTGCCCTCCCCCAAGCCCTTCTCTACACTCCCGCCCAGAGAATCAGATGCTCTCACTTCTCTGTCTGAACCTTCCTTGGCTGCTCTTTGCTCTATGGATGAAGTTAAGAATCCTCCAGGTGCCCCTGGAGGCCCTCTTCCTTCCTGGCCCATGGTCTGTGGTCCGGCGTCCACACCTGGCCGTGCGCCCACCTGTTCACCCCGCTGCAGCCACCTTGTTGGTTCTCCTCCCCCAGCTCCTTGACACACTGTGTCTGCTCTTCTGTCCCCCACGCCTTCTGCTTTCCCGAGTCCCACTCACCCTTGGAGTCTCAGTTTAGATGTCACTTTAAAAAATACATGTTTTTATTGATTTCAGAGCGGAAGGGAGAGGGAAAGAGAGATAGAAACATCAGTGATCAGAAAAATCATTGATTGGCTGCCTCTTGCACGCCCCACACTGGGGATCAAGCCCGCAACCCGGGCATGTGCCCTTGACCTGAATCGAACCTGGGACTCTTTAGTCCACAGGCTGACGCTCCATCCACTGAGCCAAATCGGCTGGGGCTAGATGCCACTTTTTAAGTGAGGCCTTTCCAGGCGGATTCCAGCCCACCGCCCCATCCCCCAACCTCCCCCCCCCCCCCCCCCCCCCCCCCGCTCCTCCGACCCCCCGCAGTCTCCTCAACCGTCCTCTACTTAGATTTCCCGGAACGTGCATCATTAGCACTCTCCACGTCACCGATTGCAAATTGCACCGCTGGATCTTAGCTGGATCTTATCTTGAATGGATGAATGAAAGAATGACTGAATGAATGAAGGGAGGAGCTTGAATTGGGTCTTACTTGTCATCATCATCATCATCCTATCATCACAATGTTTCCAGTCCCTCTGGGACAGCCCACCCCTTTCTGGATGGAGCGCCCACTGCGCGCTCAGGCCCTTCGGGGAGGACGCGGACACCGCGCGGCTCGGGCAGGTCTCCCCACCAGGTGCTCCCCGCGCTCCCAGGTTCACTGGCTTCGGGGAGGAGGAGCGGCGGGAAAAGGGGTTGGCAGCCGGGAGCGCGGGGCACGCCTCCAGCCTCGCAGCCCGCCGCCGCCGGAGCGCCACTTCCTCCTTCGGGGGCCGGGCGGGGCGGGGCGGGGAGGGGCGGGGCGGGAGACGCCCCCCGCGGCCGGCCGGGGCCGCCCCAATGGGATTCGGGGCCGGGCCGCCCTCGCCCAGTCCCGGCGCCGCGCTTGGCCGCGGAGGAGGCGGCGCGGCCCGGGCAGCGGCGGCGCTGCGCCCGCCGAGGGGAGGCCGAGCCTGCCAAGCTGGCGCCCGGCGGGGCGATGGTGGCCGGTGCCCGCGGCGGCTGCGCGCAGGCGGGGGCTGCCGGGCACGGCCTCCTGGCCCTGCTGCTCGTGGTCTGCGCCCCGCTCCGGCTGCGGGCGGACGAGCCGGGTGAGTAGAGCGCGTTCGGCGGGCGGCGGGCTGGGCCTGGAGGAAGTCGGGGTCCCCGTCTGCACCCCGCGAGTCCTGCGCCATCTGGCCGATGGCAGCTCGAGTAAAAACTCAGTGACTGCTCTCCGATCGCTGCGCACGAAGGTCCCCCCTGCCCCTCGATCAGGAGAACCAACTTGGCGCTTCCCCACGCTCCCCCTTCCCAGCCCCGCTTCGTCTCCAGACTTCCTGACTCCACCGGCCGGCGAGAGGTGACAGGGCCCGGGGTCGGGGGCGCGCGACCCAGGCCGCCTCAGGGAGAGTCAGCAGCCAGGACGCTTCTCGCCGGCGTCCTTTGGACCAAGCTGCTCAGCAGTTGGGCGGCCAGGCCCTCGCTGCCGCCTCTCCCTCTGCGGCTGCAACCCCCGGGTCCGTGTGTGGTTTTAGGGAAAAGTCGGGAAATGTTGGCCCGACGCGCCGCGCCTTACCGAGTGCTGCCTGCGCCCGAGGTTCATTCAGGTGGTTTGGCTCCTTGGGTGTGAGAGCGAGTCAGGTCCCGACCAGGCTGGTCTTTCTCGGGACCAGGTGATTGGCTTCCAGTTGGACCTAATGAACCCACAACCGAATTTACCCCGCATTTCCCCCAGGTCAAAGCAGTAAACCGTTCACCAGTCTAGGCAAATCCTTGTTAAGTAGCTCTTTATTGATAGCAAGGAGCGACTTATTGGGGAGTTTTTTGGTTCTTGGCCCCTCTCCCCCTACTTCTGCCCTATGGAACGGCGGTTATTTAATAGCACCGAATTCGTCCAGAATATGTTGACAGCTTCCCCACCCCATGCTTCCAAATGAGAAAAGAGTCAAAACTTAACCCAAGATTGCATTCCCCACCTCCCGCCCCACTGGACCGTGTATCCATTCCCAGTCTGAAACATGGACACCCAAGATGTTAGTAGTGGTTACTAAGGTTGGTTACATACCTTTTAAGATTAAAGTTTAGATGAGATCTGTCTTGTCACTATAGCAGAATGCTAAGCATATCGTAAAATGTTAATACTACATATGTGGGATTTTGATCATGGTTGTTTTAAGCATTGAAAAGTGTTTCTCAGGCTCCTATTTGAAGATGCACGTTTAATACCGCACATTTGTGAATCCGCCCAACAGTGTGTCCCGTCCTAATCTGGCCCGAATTGTCGCCCATCGTTCCAAATGAAGTTTCAGATGTTGTAGAGCCATCCGGGCTGTTAACTGGGTACTTTGTAGAGCAGTTCTCTGCTGGCAAGTGTGATTGCTCAGCTTCAAGTTTGGGTCTACTGCGGTTACTGGTGGAAGAAGGTATTGTCATTTGATTTTCAATGAAACATCCTATATATTTAGGATGCTGAAAGGTCCAATAAAGGTGTAGGTATTTAATGACAAAGAAAGTAAAACTTAGTTTGGGGACATTTATTGAAAAAAAAATCTAAGAACTCAGGTTCTGATACCTCTTGAGTGAAGAGGCATTGTCAGTGATTTTTTGCACCTTTCTTTTCACGTGTGATTTTTCTAATTAGCCCACAGTCACTTATTTTTCAAGCTTCCATAAATTGAAACATGCACACCCATTTTAGGTCCTGAGATATGTTGCTGGCTATGCAGTTGGATGGTGTCATCAGTGACAGGAGTGCTCTCCGTGTTTAGAAAATCAAAGGGCAGGCTTAGCATAACAGTCTGTTTTTGGCCAGAAGACACCATTTATTACATTTTACCTTCATTGTTCTCAGAGTCAGCTTCGTCTGGTGCTTCTTGCCTCCCCAACCTGCCAGACTCCCCACTCTCTCCTGAGTCTTTATAAAAGCCCCAAGACCACACTGTAAATCAGGATTTCCAATGGGTGGGGCCTGGGAATGGGTGCTTTTAATAAGTTCCCCCAGGTAATTCTGATCCAAATCAGCTTTGAGATGGTAGAAACAACTTTATAATGTTAGGGTTATGATAAAGTGCTACCGTCTGTGTCAGAGACAGTTTAATATTGAAATATTAAAAAGTCTGTCCTTGAGTCATCACTCCTTTATATTTGGCTAGACATGGGACAGCCGATACCTGCTGTGTTTTGGTGAGTGACTTCTTTAAAAGGAAGCACAAGTTTATTCTGGCACCTTCTGTGTCATTGTGTGCACTTGCCCAGACTTTCCTTCATCTCCAAGGTCTGAGATCCTATCAGCCCTGTAGTCTGTAAATTCCTGAGGGGAGCGACCAGCTTTGTCTTTACCTTCCTAGCATCCGACAAAGGTGCTCAATTAATGTTTCTTGGGTTGAACTGAACAATCTTTTTGTGTTTAGGAGATATTTTCAAATTACTTTCTAATTAGTGGAAACTAAGTAATGAAATGTCTACCGAAGTTCTTTATGAGGGTACGTCTGATGCTTACACTAATTAATGTTTAGCAAGCCCAGCTCTCTTGGCATGCCTATTTCTACATGCAAGGATGCCTTGTAAGTGAAAGTACAGCAGAAAGAAGGAACAGGCCAGAGAACAACATGTACCGTATCTTCTGGCTCTAGGAGAAGTGATTTGTAACACTTGAACATTGAATTATATGAGATATTTCAGAAAAGAAAGACTTTATGTTAAAGGATTCACTAAACAAATCAAAGGATGTTGTTCAAGCTCGACTTGAGCTCTGAATAGTGTCCCAAGCTATCAACTTTTCATTGCATAAAGTGAATGCTTTAACCGTGTGGTAGTGACACAGATTTGAAAATCATATAAAAAAAACCATCATATGGAAATAAGCAATACATCTGACATTTATAAGGAATTATGTTTTTATTTTTAAGATGCATGAGGAAGTTAATTGCAGCATTTAGCAAAGGTTTTAATCTTGTTAAGGCAGAAAAAAAACATTTTCAGGGAAATATTTTCTATAGAGTTTTGGACTCTCTGCTATGTGTATTCTAGCATGAAGTCAACTCTATACATATTAAAGTAACCTATTGGTTTGCATTTTGAAGGAGATAACACACATAACCCACCTAGACTTGCAGTTAGTACATAGCAAATGCCAACCATCTTACTTTTCACTGCTGTTTATTATTACTATTAATTGGACAAATATGGGGGCCCCTTTTTTCTGCCTCCCTCACTGCCTCTTGGACCTCATTCTTCAGCACACTTACTCATACTTCCAGTCATACCAGCTTTCTTGCCATTCCTCAAGGTATCAGGCACCCTTCTACCTCAGAGCCTTTGCATGTGCTGCTTGCTCTTCCTGGAACCCTCTTGCCCCAAATATCCAGACAGCTTTCCTCCTTCAGTCTTTGTCCAGGTGTTGCCTTCTTGGGGAGGATATCCCTAACCACCTGTAACCCACCTGCCGCCCCCAGAACTCCATATTCCCTTTCCTGCTTTCAGTTTTCTTTAGAGCATTTATCCTTTTCCAACAGAGTGTATAATTGACGCTTTTATTTCATTCATTTGTATTTCCCTTACAAGAATACAAGGTCCATGAAGAGCTGTGTAGTTTGAACAGTGGCCAGCACATGATGGTTACTCAGTAGGGATGAGTGTTCAGTAGTGGAAACTGAGGCTTATAGACTATTCAGCCACTTGCCTTGTCACTCAGGCAGTGCATGGCGGAACTGGTATTCAAGCCCAGCTGTGTTTTAGTGCTGCAGAGCCATAGGCTGTTCACTAAACTCCCTCTGGAATGAGTGTTCTGTAGTGGATAGGTAGGTGCTCAGTGAGGATGGGGTGAGAAGGCAGTGAAAACACAGTTGCCGCCCTGTTGTTAAAGACTTAGGGCTGACTCTAGTTGAGAATCAAAACCTGAAATAAAATATGTCTCGTCCAACTGTTGTCTGTAAATAAAAAGTCTGAAAATAAGGACTTAAAATAGAAGAATTCATTCTGCTGTACTCGAAGTCTGGCATTGCAGATAGAAGGAAAATATTGTCAAACTTTCAGATTGCTTTTTTCCTCCCCACCCCCCATTAGACTAGAAGTAATTTTGCGTGTTTGCAACTGAAAAGTCATGTTGATGTCATCTTCCAGATGTTCATTCTCGGCCTTGTATATATAACAAAATAGCTGTTTACCTTGGGGGATGAGGGGTTGGGAGAGATTTAACTGATGCAGATGAAATGGTGGTTTCTAACCCGATGTGGAAATAAATTTTAACTGTGAGCTCTAGTATGAATCTGGAACCAACTGCCAGCCTTGCCTTTCAATGGGAGTTGAAGAAGTTTTATTTTGGGAGGTGGGTGGGGAGTGGAATGAGAGAGAATCTAGAAGATCCATGAGACAGAGACAAAATGGAGGTTTTTTTTAAGTCACCACCAGTACCTGGTACAGTGCCTGGTAGATAACAGGCTCCAGATAACTATTTCCTGCATTAGCACATGAATGCTGTGGTGAGGTTTCAGAGAATACGGTGAAAGGTGACGTGCACTAAGTTGTTTGCTGAGAAATTGCATACATGACTATGGTGATGTCTTAGGAAACAATGCACATGTTTTCAAGAAAATATCTAAATTCATCTCTGATAAGGGTTGGGAATCTCTGAGCCTCTTTTACAGGCAACACCCGGAAAGCTGCCTTGAGGTAGGTGCTGGCAGTCTTAAGAATAGAGGAGCAGGTGGTAGACTGAATCGGACCAGGTGGGTCAGTGATCCCCTAAGATCTGCAGATGCTTATACATTGAGGCCATCAGGGGCCTGTTTTACCTTGAAGATCATTTGGGGACAGTGTTTAGACCTTTGTGACATGAGCTCTATATTAAGCCTTATTATCATATGAGCCTTGACTACTTACTGCCATTTCTATCTTCCTAATGCTTACAAGATCTATTAATCTAGTTTTTATCTCCTAGAACTATCTCCTATCTCTTTGGGAGCTACACACTGTGTGAAAGTATACCCTATGTTTGCAGAAAGCCCTGTGTCTCATATATGGTAATTTTGGGTTAGGTAGATTTTGTGTGTGTGTCGGAAAAGCGGAAAATAACATTGGAACAAGGTAAAAGCTAATTGGCTCCATGTTA